GAGCCGTTGTAAGAAAGTGCTCACCATCACGGACTGAATCCATGAAGGACACCAAGTCATCGGAGAAATCATGACTTACAGTTCCACCTTTACCTTGCAGTGTCGCCCGACTGCCGTTTTCCGATTTCGATTCGAGATACATCGCAGCATTCCCCTTCCATCTTCGAAATGTTGCCTCCGGAATATTATACGTTCGGGCAAAATGTCTGTCACTGGTACACGGACCAAGGAGGGCATGCGTCTGAAGTAAGACGCGGATTTGACGCACTGTATAGCGACGCTGATGGCGGCGTGCTGCAGGTCGGGGTGGTGACATGTCAATTGATCAGGCGGACCAAAGTTGACAAGGTGAAATTTGAATGAACCAATCAAATTCACGAATTTGAAATTTGATTTGGCCAATCACACAGCTTAGATCAGGCGTGTTCTGATTGGTTAAATATGTTTGATTTTTTGAGCTTTGGAATTTAAAAAAATATTTCAGGTACCACTGTGCCCCAGTTCACATGTATGTAGTTCACTGCTGTAGTTACAGTCAACTTGATAAAAACTCGACAAAGTGGTACTTCAGGTTATATGGAAATTTGTATGAGCTGCGTTATAGTAGACTTATAAAAAATTTTACACTTGAAGTTGTGCAAGAACGCCTGGTACTTCTGTAGCTGTTTTGATTCGCCAAAAACGACTAAAAATATTGTGCCAAGTCGGAGTTGGGGGGTAGCGTGATTCGCCATGGCCTACCATGGGCGCATGCTGGGAATCCCTGTGAAGTGCATCATGCCAACGATTGCGCCTCTGACCAAGGTCAAGGGGTGCCAAGAGCTCGGGGGCGTGTGATTCTGCACGGCGCGCACATCCTCGAAGCCAAGATCAAGGCCGATGAATTCGTCGATATCGAAGTACTACCACCACCTCATATCTCTCACCCACCTTGTTGTGGTAGGACTTGGTATACATCAACGGGTTCGACCACCCGAACAGTATTGCCGGCGCCGGGACGATGGGGATCGAGATCTTGAACCAGGTGCACAAGGCCGACGTGATCATCGTTCCCGTCGGTGGCGGGGGCCTCATTGCCGGCACTGCCCTTGCCGTCAAGACGCTCAACTCTTCGATTCAAGTCATTGTACGTTTAGCAGACACACACGCGCCTTCCGAACGCAGCTCAGTCGTCGTGGTAAGGTGTGGAACCTGAAAACTGCGCCAGTTTCACGGCAGCGCTTGCCACCGGGTGTCCCGTGGACACCAACACCAAACCGACCCTTGCCGATGGTTTGGCGGCCCGAAAGTCGGCGCGAATGCGTTTGAAGTTGCTGCGCCGTTGATCGACCGCATGGTGACCGTTATCGGAAAAACCAATTGCGCTGAGTGTCCTGCGTTTGTGCGAGCTGGAAAATGTCGTCGTCGAAGGGGATGGCGCGACGTCGCTCGCCGCTCTGATCGACGACAAGTTGCCGGATCTCCGGATACGCTTCGTGCAATGTGCACGCCAGCCCCGGACTTGACGAATTCATGTGCGACGATTGCTCACGAGAGCGCGGGTGTGTCCTCGTAGGGCAAGCGCATTGCGATGCCATTGTGCGGCGGGAACAGCGAGACGAGTGTGTTGGGCGGTGGTTCTGTCGTCCCCTCGCACCGACGACGACATGGAGGTGCGTCCTTCCTTCATGTGCGTCCTTCCTTCGTGTAGCTTTTTGTGCGACCGATGGAACTCGTCGGGGTAGAAAATGGTTAATGAACTCACAGAAAGCGTCGAGTTCGCATCAGCAATCATCAGCTTTGTGCGAGTGTCGATGCTATATCGCCGCGGGACGCGCTGCGGGAGGACTGGTGTTGGCATGAAAGTTCAAAATGCGAGGGATTTTCGAATCGACCAATCACATAGCATTAAAATTCAATGGGTATTTATCCAATCACTGCGTTAAATGTACTAGTAATTGACTACATATTTCGCCGAATCGGCATTGCTCATCGGATGCTCAATTTTATTCGAGTACACTCTGTCGAGTTTTTATCAAGTTGACTGTAAATCAACGAGAAGGACTGATGTCCGGCGAGGATGGTGGTTCTTGGCGGTCGGATACACCGAGGATGGAGCGGCTTTGTCGGCGATTCATCGTGGACGAGTGGCGCTCGCAATACCCGTCCATGCGGGTGTACGTAGTACAGTCAGTGACTAGGCAATTTGCGCCCGCCGCCGTGCTCGACGCAATGCTACCTCGCGTGCGCTACAGCCCTTGTTGCAGTGATTAACACCATACAATTCTTGGATGCTTGACCCCGTGCTTGCAGTTCGCTTCAGCTGCCGACGCATCCCTTTCCTTTGGCTTGTCTTATATGCAACGTCGCCCTCCTGCGAGTGTGACGCCCGCAGTCGCCGAGCCCAGTGCATGGTCGGATCGTGCCATACCCAGCCAAAATTCGCGCGGTACATGTGAGACGAACACGGAGTCAAGTAAAAGGGTGCGGTCGACACGTGTCATCGCGCCAACGCATCAAGACATGGCGTATGTAACAAGCACGGAACGAGCTCCAGGGGACCGACA